TGCTATGGAGAAGACAGAAAATGCGTTGAATAGTAATCTTAACGCCTGCTGATGTCAACCTGACAAAACGAACACGATGTGAGCAATGTAGAGAAGACTTCGTACACATCCGCGACTGACCTTATCCCTACATCAGCCTTTATCTCCGACGCTTCTACCTCTCTTACTACCTCTTCATCCACCTGTGCTACCCCAGCCTCTCGCGGTGCCGCCCCCACTCCATCTCCCGCACCTCTTCCCTCCACTTCACTCCTGTGCCCCGCCCCCTCGGTCGTTGTTAGCAGGCGTCCGACACCCTAATATATGCGGGTTTAAATTCGGCGCCTGCGGGGGCGTCGGGAGCAGGAAGCGGGTTGGGGGAGGGGGAGGGGAGGGAGGGATAGAGGAGGGGGAGGGCGGGCTCCATTGAGCGGCGCAAAGGGCGCGCAAGGAGCAACAAGACGCCCCGCGCCGCCGCGCAGGAAAGGTCAGGCCGCGCGGGCTCCGGAGGCTGGCGCAGGGGGTTCGCTTCTCATCTGCGAAAGGCGTTGAGAAGAGAGGTCGAGGAGGGGGCGAAAGTTTATGATGACGATAAAAATCTTTCGTTCTCAGATCGAAAGGGAACTTTTCCTGCTAAAGCTTGACTGACATAGCAATCTCAAAAACGGCTCCAAATTTTTCAATGAAAATTTCCATATAGCACGAGGTTTTACTTTTATTTAATATTTTTTAAAGTTATATCTCGTCCTACCGTTAGGGAACCGAAAAATTTAGAAAATGTCAAAAAATGTTCTTTGAGTGGAGATCGATGGCAGCCAGCAGGGGGATCAGGCAAGACCATAAAGCCAGCCCACACCAAAGAAATTAGAAAATTTTAGTATGAAAATGTCTGTACCATTCTGTAGCATCACTAATTTTCTTAATGAAATATGTTTATCAAAACATCTTCAAATAAAGTCTATTTGAAAAATATGAAATAAAAATTGCTTTCAGGCAATATCAGATTGGAATGAATCAGATATTTTATCAGAACAATATAAGTCCGCGCCGCGAATAGGAAGCAGAATTCCAATGAACTACGACTCATTGTTGGAAATTTTATTTTTTATTTATTCTATCTTGGCCATTGTACCTCTGCAGCCGTATAAGATAAATACATTGATATGAGATGTATATAAAATCATTTGATACATTATACACAGATTTCTAGATTTGTATATAATATAATATAGTGGTTAATATAGCTCAAAACGAGAAAAGACTCATTGTTTCATGTCTATAAGGGATCGAAAACTTCTCTTGGTAACTTTCTTTTTAATCTTTTGCATTGAGAATTCTGTTTACCTATGTGAAAATGAATATCTGAAGGGATATTTAATATTTTAGAATACCATTTTTTTAGATAAGAGGGAGAGTGGGCACGAATAGTTGTAATGCCAAATTCATTATGTAGCTGTGCATTCGAAATGTATCCGGGAGCTTTTGTGATGGTGCGTAGGAATATATTTAGGAAAATTTGCATTGAGTTGATGTTTGTTTTGGCCCAGACTGGAGAAACGAAGCATAGGAAAGTATGGGAAGTATCATCGCTTTAGAGAGGTGAATAGCAACATGTAGTAGACGGGAGGATGATTTTTAGAAATATTTTTGTTGGGAAGTGATGTAGCTCTATAAAAGGCAATTATAACTGTTTAAATTTGTGTTGATATTTGTTTTAAAATATTTAGTTTTCTCGCCTAATGTTGTACGATGTGTAATGAGTTTTACAAAAAGTGATGACTGAAATGTGTTAATTCGGAAATTGTGGTATAAATAGTATTACATAACACTTACTAAAGGCAAGAATGAACGTGCTGTTTTAGCATTACTAGTTTGTTGCTATTTACCTGCGCGAATTCTCTTTTTTGGAAAACTATTTTGTGTGATTTTGTTCAACAGAATTTATACTTCTTGAGAACAGAACTTCAATTTAGTCATCTTACATTTTCGAAACCATACACATTAAGAAGTGTTAGTACTTCATCACTAGCCATTGCAGTATTCTTTCACTATATTGAGGTAGGGTACGTGAACAAGGCAATAAAGTGTCGCAATAATAATGGATTAATTGAAGCATAGAGTGTTGCTTCTCCCCTGTATATTACTAATTCTTTTTCTTTGCCATTTACGTACGTATACTACACGAAGCAAAATAAGTGGACTAGAAAGTTATGTAATACTACGGAAAATTGATTTAGAGTATTCAGCGGAAATATACATTTTGGAGTCCACTTATACGGATTCTTTTTCCAAAATGTTCATCTGAGTTAAACACTAGCTTCTAAACTATTTGTATTATTTTTTTCAAAATCTTTTGCATAAGCAGACACATAAAACTGTATTTGTCCTCAAAAATTAAATGAGTAGATTTATTTAATGTTTAATCTTTCTGCAACTTTTCCTGAGCTTGTCCTTTGTATGGGGAAGGTGTTGCCCTAGAGCCACCACTAGTACTGACTAAGTTAGCTAAGAGGTTGTACTCATATTACCGTGTTCGGCGCATCAACGTTGACAATTCTAGCCCCCGGATATTCTTTTCGGTATTTTTAAGTGGTTTCTTCAATCAAAGTAGGGAAATTATTGCGAAAAGCATTTCGTTTAGAAATGGACCACAAACCGCGCGCGATCTTTCCTTCCTCAATCTCGGCGTCTTCTTTCCCCTTTTTACCCACGCTAAAATTATATGTATTACTCTGTTACATATGCCGGAGACTGACCCTATTTCGGTTTCAACGGTGGCTCGCTGGCGGAGATACTTCAAGAAGGAAATGTCCCGCGAGGCGACATGACGCATCAGACCTCTCGTTCCAGCGAGAGAGGAACACTGACACCTCTAGAGATCAAATATTCACTACACTTACGGAACTAACGATCGAAACAGATGATGCGCTCGGAAACACGAAATAATCAATTAATCAACTAATGAACTTTATTGTTCAATGCCTATTAATACATATCCGTCCAATCCTATAATACAAGATCCGTCCAATCCTTCCTGTATCTAATTTGCTGAGTCAGAAAATATAATTTATCTAAATTTTGAAAAAAATCTCATAGCTTTCTAATATATTTATCATTAACTTCAACACTTCCTTTACTTAAAATAAATACATTTCATTTCATCAATGCTGTGAGAGTATTCCCTTTTCTATCTACTCCTTATTCCCCCGCTTACATTCCTGTCTTCAATGTGAAAAACTTCCTTATCCAAATTGCGTACGTATTTCTCTTTGAATGACCTTTATTTTTCATTAACTATTGTATTCATTTTATTTGAAAATGGTTAGGCGGAAGAGCAAGCTAAATGGTCTGAGTCTCGCCATCAATAAAGACATATATTTATTTCTTTTATTTATTTATTTATTTTCATTTATCAATGAAAGTGGGCGGTGGGCCAGTCGATGCACTGGGCCTCGGCCGCAGGGCTGCAGCGTGGGGCGATGGAACGGGCGCAGCGGCAGGCGCTGCACGCCACGAGCGGTGGCCACGCGATCATTGAAAGCACTGCGGCGCCCGCCCCGCCCCGCCCCTCGGCGCCGCTTCACGTTCCTCCCCCGGCCCGCTTCCTCAGGGTCCCTGGGGCTCCGCCGAAGGAGGGGCCGCGCCCAATTCGCAGTGACGTCGCGAGAGTAGTTCGGCGAAGAAGCCCGAAAGGTCAGCTACACCTTCATTCGCACGCGAGGGAAATGTTCAGCAGGATTTGTGTGGACAAATAAAATTAGCAAATGGGGAGAATTCTACTTTTCTTCGATTCCAAAGTTTTGTTTCCAGTGTTCTAGAATATTTTAAACTTCAAATCGTTCGAATCCTTCAAATAATGCATTGTCCTTGAGTGTCTTATGGAAGATATTTTGTTAGAAGTAATCATTTTAGTTTTTAGGTTGAGCACCCACAATACTTGGAATGGATGGAACACTTCATCGCACACAAATAGGAAAATACGTTGAAAAGAGGCCTAAAAGTAGAGATTAATCGAACTATTAGTGTCGGTCTGCGTGAAACAGATCAGTTTCACCCAACTGTCAGTTGCAGGTCTCACTGAAGGGAAAATAGAGTCGAATTTCTCTGGTTAGCAGGTTGAGAACCTGAGGTAGTCTCTTGCCTCATGGAGGTTAACAACACAACACAAATTTACAAAATAGAACCAATTTTCAATGGATCAATAGCTACATAAAAATATAACTCTTAATACAAATATTAGCCTTAGAAATTTGTATCAAAGTAATAGATAATATCTAGAAAGTTTGTAATAACGAGTTGATTAAGGAATTGCTAATATTTGTTTATATTTTGTTTCAACAACTTTAAAAATATTTCCTCAAATTAGCTGTTTCTTATTTAAAATGAAGGTTTTAATTGCTCTACCATAACTGGCATGTTTCCAACCACAATACAGAGACACATGAAGCTATGCAGTTCATTTAGCACACACTTTTGCCCACAATTCGCACGTGCTAACGACGTGATAAAACAGCAAGGGAGTCAAACCGAAGAATTCTTATGATTTCGATTTTCATGTTTTTAGTAGCTGTTTTTATGACCCATCAAATGGAACCTAACTACATAAGTTGATTATATTTGTTCTTCATTACTGCATTACCGAGACTCTATAAAGCATATGATGAATTGCAAAATAATTTAAATATGGTCAGACAAATGTAAATAGCATCAGAACGGGTCGCAATTTATTTGGAACGTGTGTCAGTGTACATAAATGAAAACGTCAGTGTATTTAAAAACGAATGTCAGTATTCGGTGAAACGATACTAAAATTCAACTGCATGCAAATGTGAAAATTTAACCAAAAAATTGGTGTCTAATAATTAATTTATGTGAGCATTAATGGCAAGATATATTTTGAATACATAGTGTACCTTGACATTGTATCAGGAACTATATTTTCAAGCGTATTTAATATTTCATTCCAATTGAAAGAAAGTACATTCATGCATTCATACGAATTTCAACTTGTCAGTATAAGATTAATTATACAATACACATGCTTCAAAAGGTGCATATTCACTGAAACAAATATAAATTAAATGCAAGGCACATTCAATATTAGAATGTATTCAAGTGAAAAACATGTAATTAAATTCATAATTTTGGGTGTAGTGATGCAGCTAAGCAAATGTTAATGATGCCTTTACTGACCTTTTTGATTCTCTACCAGAAATGAATGTAAATTCTGAACAAAGTTATCGTAAATAAATTCCCACACAGCAAAGTTAGAATTATTTTGTATAGTTTAGAATATTTTGGGAATTTTCTTTTAAACCCTGACGGAAGTTGAATACTTTCAACCACCACTGCCACCATTTTAAGCATCGTCGCCTTGTCAAATTATTCTTGCCCCCAAGCTCTTCTCACAGCCATCCCAATTGCTTTTAATGATAACCCTATGCACTTCACTATTCTAGAGTAGTTTCTTTTACCTTCGTGTCTCCTTCGAGGCTTCTATGAACCATTACTTAGAGGTTGTGCCTTCACGTGTAATCAGTTGACTCTCTTCGATTCTTCCTCCCTCCGACTGAGAATGGCTATCCTCTCGACGCACATTACCAGTGTACTTGCTATCATTCCCCTCACTCTAACCTCGAAGTGGTCCATATTTTCGTTATATCTGTACTAATCCGTACACGTGCCCATTTGCGAGTGGGTAGTCACCCGGTGGAAGGACGTTGCTGCACCTGGCAGCGCTCCGCTGTGCCCTTTGGAAGTATGAAACGCAAGTGGAATTGCACTCCCAGAGATTTAGCAGGAGGGCAAGGGATTGTTTGTAACTTGTACATATGTAACGCGTCCCTGGCTCACTGCTCAGGCTTCTAGATCTCGTAGGTAGATTATAAAATAGGAGATGCTGTTTGATACGTTAGTTGGATAGCCCTCCTGGCCACAACACATTGCACACAACATCCATGATCAAACGGGATTCAAACCTTCTTCCCTTCTTGATGAGTCCGTCCCTATACTCAAGTCTCAGCGATCTCAATCCTCCGGGCCGACCACAAAACCTTTGCTGACTCCCTCTTGCCAACACCTTCGTTTTTTAAAAACGATTGGTTTGGCAAAGTGGACTCATGTCAACAAATGTTGCCCCTGCAGCATCTCTGGTCGCGAGGTTTTGGGTGATGACTCCGGCGGGCTTTTGAATTAGATACCGGGCTCGAATTCAGCCGAGTCTGGAGGACTATTGTAGCGGCCAGCTATTCTGATCGGTAGTTTTCCGTCATTTCTTCGAACAATACTAGGCGAATGCCGGAGCAGTATCGTAATAAACGGGCCACGGATCACGTGCGATCTTTCCTTCCTCATTCTTGCCCCGCCTCTTTTCTTGCATAAAGGCGTACACTGCTACAGATATCAAGAGACAAGTCGAGAGTTTAAAACTTGTCTCGGCTGTGACAATGCCTTGCTATCTGAGATGTGAGGATGGTAAAACCATCGCAAAATAATGTGTAGCTTGGCATCAGATCTCACGTTCTATCTGGTTAAGACGTCCAGTGCTCTCCACGTTCTATTATCAACTATGCTTACGGGAATAATGATCATAGCAATTGACTCACCCGAAAACACAAAGTAATAAATTAATCACTAAGAGGAAAAACAACACACGCTTGTCACATATCGTAGAAACCATTTAAAAAACCCTTTTGATTATATGACTCGATTACACTCGTACTTTCAAAATAAATTCCATGTGCTGCCACTACTGAATTCATTTCATTTTCGTCTTGCAAATGTCTCACTCTCTAAAAGTATACTCAATTCCCTCTTTTTTATTCTTTACCGCAAGACAATATTTGACACTGATATAAAGAATTAACCATGCCTTTTGTTGGCTGTCACATATGCAACTGTGAAGAAGCATGCTACTGACACCACAAAAATTGGAAATGAGTATGTTGACATGGGATGATTCAGAATGTGTCCCCTCGAAGGCAGAGTAAAACTTAATTCTGAAAATTTCGCGTGTGTGGGAGGAAAAATTAATTTCTACACTGGAAGTGTTGATGACACCTCGCCCGTCCGCTTACGGGCTACATTGAGAGCGACAGAACCCAAACGAGCCGAGATCTACAAACTTGCATTGTTTGCTTATTACACTTGCATTTCATGTAGTCAAGTTACTAGCAACGCAGCATCAAAAGGGGCCCTGCGGTCTCCTGCAGACAGCGTACTACTCAGAGCGTTTGCCTACACGTCCCGCTTCGCAGGAATGGGAGAAATTGCTCGCAGTAGGAGAGAGGATTTAACGGACCTTTTATCAAGATGATTGTAATCAACGACCTTCAGCTACAAAGAGCAGCATTGGCTGCTCTACATTTCCAGACTCGAAGTACTACTTAATCCTTTCGGCATCATGCGCGACGGGTCTTATGGAAATCGGAGATCAGCCCGTGCCAGGACAAGTCATTGAAGTGTACTACTAAATGTACTACGACCATGTAGAATCCATTGTTGCTTGTTTGATCTTCAAATAGTTGAGGGGAGACGCCGAGAAAACATGCTCTTGAAATTTGTTAATTTTCCAACTGTCAGAACAGATGGTCACGGAAAGTGCAAAACGTCATATGTCAAAAATTAACACCTTTTATAAGAGCAAACAAAAATTCTTGTCTTCATTTGATTTAGATAATTTGATTGTATCTGATTTCCGGTCAGTTGTAGACTTACAAAAATGTGCCGTTAGGTAGGGATCATTAACACATACATTTAACACTAATTAAATAACGTGAAATTTTTAAATAAGACCTTTTGCACTGTAAGTGACAAGGTGAAAGATTGTTCTTTCCGAGAGCTTCGTAAACATGCTCTTTCATATTAATCGAGTGCAGCATCATAGTCATCTGCGCGTCTACGCGTCTATTGCTAGTGCTCTGGGGGATCTCGCGCGAGCGTCATCTCAGTTTTTACATTCCTTGTTTAGGCTACACGTTTTGGAATCACCACAACAATACGAACTCAAATTTTCGGTCGTGAAATCCGCTTTCAAAGTTCTTTTGGGGTGTCTGAGTTTCCAAGAACATCCTGCTGGTAGCCCTCTGACCTGATTTTCACCCGTACTGGGTTGGGTGGGAGTGTACCTTCGCTGTCCTAGTGACGCCAGGGAGAGGCCGACCTGGAGCAGGGTGGGCTGGAGCGTGGCGGGGGGCGGGCCGGGGGCAGGCGGGGGCGAGGGGGGCGGGCGAGGCGCGGGTAGGGGCGGGCGGGCTGGGGGTGGCCTCCGCGCGATCTCGTTCACGCGGTTCAGGTCGCCTGTGCAGGCAAGTGTCGCCCACTCACCCCTCAAGCGGGTGCGGGGGCGGGCCTGGAGTCGGCCGGCTCTCGCACGCTGCCTATTAAAGTCTCTGACACGTTTATTTTCGACCGGCATTCCCCCGTGCAGTATAAAGTAGGTGCTATGTCCCGAAACACAGTTTCGCCCTCCTATATCAAGTGGGAGACGGTTCAGGAGGGGGTTAGACTGCTTTCTTTAGGTATCAGAGTTCTCCTAATTTGGATAACGCCCGGACAACTCAGTCCAGCAGTTGTTTATGACCGTTTTAGTAGACTGTTAGGCACGTTGCTTCAAGAGAAGTGCTTCTCAACACGAACTACTAATTATCTTAGTCCTTATTTCATTTGTACTTGTCTTCGATTTACGAGTTTTATCTCAGTGGTTTTAGGAACAGAGCATTCTGCTCGGTAGATCAGATGATATATTTAAATTTCAAAACCAACATCTGTAAGGACATTTTCTATCATAATCTGATTAGAAGAGCAGTGATTGTAAGATAATTTTAGATTATATCGTAAATTTTCATTTCCTTTCAGTTAATTTTGTTAGCCTTGTTTTCTATTACATGCTATATTAACTTCATTTAAATAGAGAGGCATTTTACAACTGCAGATTCTATTATATGACTTGTCATTTCCTTAACTTATATTTTCATTTTGACATCTTTTCGGATTTTTAATTATGAGACTATCTCTGAAATAAGATTATCCTTAAATCTTTCCTTCGTCTAGATACCGTTCTTCAAAATCTTACTTTATGGTGGATCTAAAGAGCTTAAATGATTTAAAATCCTTGGGTTCTACAATATTCATCGAATGTTTCTCATCAGAGCGGAAAAGACTCGCGGATAATGGAAAATATAAAGCCAGGCAACTTTAACGGGTCCTCTTAAAGAACAGGAAATTTGAATGACTCTCATGAAGTACATGGATATTTAGGAAGATGTATCTACAACAGACATAATATATTTTAAGGGTTATTTGTTTTGTTTGTTTTGTATTTCTACTTCTGGCGTGAACATATTAAAAATACGGAAGGTACTTACAAATTATTGGCAGATTTTCTTTTACGATATCACAAATTACCTTGCCGTTGCGTGCCATGTTTCTTCAATGTTATTATCAATGTTATTACATTTCTTTTAAGGGCATATGATTTATTTTTACGTCACTTTTGCGTAATGATGAATCTCATCGTAAGGTTTTAAAATATCTCTCCTGGTGTTCAATACGGAGAGACAAATTACCGGGCAAAGATACGAAGAGTAGTAAAAATATCTATAGTTAGTCAGGCGAATGTCCAAGACACTTCATTGCATCTGGAGAAGCTTACTGGACACACAGTCGACTATGCAAATGTCATTATACTCCTCTTGGTCTCACCGGTAAACAGGGAATGGTGAGGTTCCTCAGAAGTGTGTTTGCTGTAACATTCCCTTGAAATTCCTGGCAACCCTTTACTGCGGGGTCTTAATGGTCACCTGTCATGCAACTGGCGCATTATTGCCGACCTCCTGGGCATGACATACTCGCATGTTTCGTTCCAGAACCCAAATGTTTAGAAAAACGTAAATTTAGTGAAACTGGGTGACGTTTTTCCAAGAGTTTTATCATTTTATCACTAAATATTGTTATATGTTTTCATTTTCGTTTGATAGATTATTTAGTATATTTCGTTTGTATATATTGGTTGTTTGCTTTATGAACAAAATTAGGCACGTTGTTCGCATGGAAATTAGATATGTTAACTCATTCTTTTATTTATTTATTTCACCCCGAAGGAGCCGGCAAAACCCATATTGCACCTTCAATATTTTGCTAGAAAAAATTCTTCTTAACCTTTCTCTTCAAAATAAGAATAAATAAAAAATACTTACGTGTTGCTTAACTTCAGTAAACAATATTTTAATTGATTAATTAGTGATTCCGGGCGCGTGAAGGTAATTTGGCACGTAATGCTAAGGTAATTTGACACATAAATGTAATGCGAGTTTTTTTCCTCGGAAGGTGGCAGTGATCTTCCCCTGTTTTGTGATTAGAACCGCCGCCGCACCCACCTGTCGGCTATCGAGGTTTTCCCTAACCAGGTATCTCCCACCAGCGGGGTTCCGTCCAGCCGGGGCAAGATCCAAGCTCCCAACTGGTCTCCCGACATGGTGTCAGTGTAAGTGTAAGAGGTGGTGACATGGCAAGGAAGAAGAAGGAGAAGAAGAAGAAGGGAAAATTGCGCGCTGTCCGTGGCCAGTTTTTTACGCTATTACCCGCGCATTCACCTGGTTTTCATCGAAGCAAATCTCGGAAAACTACTGAGCAGAGCAGCGAGATGCTAGAAGACTCCTGGAGACAGCGACAGAGCTAGACCCAACTATCTAGCTAGGGTCAAAAATCATTCCACCCTCGGGACTCGAACCCAAGAATTTTCAGGTCAATGGCCTTGCAGAGACCTAAAATGGTGCCCATAACCACCGGTGAACAAACAATACTTTAAGTTAGAGTATCCCAAATGTTATTTTAAAAATTCTGTCGTGTTGTATGATTTCTCAAGTATACTTTTTCATGTTTATATTTCTGCTGTAATGGTACAAGTTTCCCCACATCATCGTTAATATATACATTCTTATTAGCCCTTGTGACCACGCCTGATTATCAAAGAGTAAATATATTGCTTTATGATGTAGATAAATATCTAAACGCTCTCTGTCGTCTTAATATTCCCTGACTAAGGAGAGGAATTGTGCACGCGCAGCCGACCACAAAAATGGGGCTTGTGCGAGGTTAACAAATAAATGAAAAACTTTAAAGAGACAATTTTCTCGGTATTATTGCATTGGAAAAAATCCTTATACGACTTCGCAGGCGATGTATTTGGATGTATGTGAAACATGACTGATACCTATTTGCTTCCTACATCGTAATTATAATTATATTTTTCTATATTTAAAAAAATGAACTAAAAAAACTGTATCAACAAAATTTATCATTAAAAATAAAAGGGTATTATGGAATAGTTTCATTTAAAAAACGAGTGTAATTAAATAATTGTTAAAAAAAGTTCACTGTTTCCTTACATACACCAAAGAAAACGTAAATATTATTTTCTAATTTTAAGCAATACTAATGGAATATTAGTAAGAAAACAATATGATAAAATAAAAAAAATAATTTGGTTATTAGTTGTCGTCAATAAAAAACGCAAAAAGGAAACATTCAGGGGATTGGCATGTAAATAGTAAATACCCGGAAATTTAATAATAGGACAATATTCAGTTCTCAAAATGTCAACAAGTGGGAAATAATTTAAACGAAGTCACTGGACGGGATCACAAACAACTATTAACATTGTATACAATTATGTGAAGTTATTTCATGTCACGATCGCAGAAATAGTTTTTCATGTTCTGACAGTAAAAAAAAAAAGACCCGAATGCTGCATAATTTGCCCTGTCTTTTCTCTGGTGCCCATCCCATACGTCCCGTACTTCCCCTGACTGCTGAATTAGTTAACAAGTTTCTGCTAAAAAGTTAAGTCCTTTTTTATTCTTTTTTTTTATTTTTAGAAATACATGCATGTGCATGTTTGTTCAGTTTCTTCAACAGTTAAAACTGTGTTGTCGTACAAACTCGAACTATGACTAATTCGTTCGTGCTATGTCGTTTGTCGATATGCCAAATGTATCGAAGATTGTTGTTTTGACAACGCTCCGTTGGCAACATTAACGCTCTGAAAGTAATCAAGCCTCGACGTTATCAAGGCAAACTTTCGTAAAGGTATTCTTATTTTAAATATAATACAAATTCTGCAAGTACTGTAACAGTTAAACTCATACGTGTTTGTTTTATTTGTAAAAGAAAGAAATAATTGTTCCTTTTGACTATCGAAACAAATGTACGCGCTTACAAAGGCGCTTTGTTTTAGTCGGTTGAATTGGACGTTTGCAAGTAATACCTTATGTGTTAATAGCACAGAAATGGCAATATTTCAATATTACGTAACTGTTTAAAATCATTTGAGAAGTAGGTATGTGTTGTTGTAGCTCCACTAGTTTTCTTTATATCGAGTAGAAAGCCATGCACGCACTGCTACCTCACCTCTAGGCCAGAGGCAAGGCTTCGACCTCTTAAAGCAGCCTTAGGGGCCGGTTTCACCAACAGCCGAGTGACGTTGAGAGTAGTTACCCGAGAGTAAGCATTTTCTCGAAGATAGTAACTCTCGAGTAGAATATAAGCGTTTCACCATGCTAATAGAGGGTTATTTTACTCTAGAGTACTCTTCTTACTTTCCGATTTACTCACCGAATCAGCTGAACGCGCAATATTTGAGAGCGATTCAAGAGGTTGTGAGCGAGAGTAACGGTGGGAACCACTGCGGACCAACTCGTACCTTTGATTAATTCCTTATATTCTATCATTAATTTCAGTTTCGGAGTTCTTGGCGGTGTCTTAGCATTATTATCTTGGGTGGTGTTATGGTGATTTGAGTTAGAATAATTTATTTCTTAGTTTTTGTATCTTTATTTCTTAATAAATATTCATTCTCCTTTCGTGAGTTACTATTATGTTAGCAAGTTAGAAAAATAAAATTTGCAATTCGTTTACCGATGGCGGTGCAAATACATTTTCTATAATTCGGGAACGAAAATGTTTAGTTTTTCTAATTTTGCTGATCTCGGGTTTTTTTAATTTTATTATTATTGTTAATTTTATTATTATTATTAATTTTATTATTATTAATTTTATAATTATTATTATTAATAATTTTATTATTACTTTTAGTTTTATTATTATTATTATTATTATTTATCGTTTGTTTTATTTTGGAAACTTGTATTCACCTTTCAACTATTTGTAGTTAAGATGTTGGAAAGGGATTCTGAAACTCAAGAATACGTGCGCAAATGATTTCCCTCATACGTCACATATATCTTTTACTAAATAAATAAATATTTCTTAGTACTAGTAGTCCCTGTAGTTATTATTTTTCCTTTTGTTATCGTATCGGTACGTGCTACCTTTATTTCGTATTCACATGGGCGACAAATAAATTTACACGTTCTCTACAGTTTACAACGTATCTGATGAAGATAACATCTGATTTATTCAAACATAACCTCGTGACAAAGTCTCGATTGTCATAATTAAAACCAATCCATTCTCTCTCCCACCCTTTGTCTTGGCACTTGTGGATAATATTCCGAACCATTGCGGAAATCGTCTTCAAATACTATCGTTCGTAATCGTCGAGCCATAACATTACTTCGGAGCTACATGCACGTTGAAAACTGAGTTTACTTTTTCCGACGGATTTTCGAAGTGTAAAGTTACTCTCGAATTTACTCTCGTGTAAGCGATTTACACTCGAGTAAAGTGTTGGTGAAACGCTCCAAAAGGTTACTCTCGAGTAAACATGATTTACTCCAGAGTAAACTCTTACTATTTGGTGAAACCGGTCCTAAGTTGTCTATCAAACAGATGGTAATTAGACGAAACAGATAGGAATTGTATGTGGGATGCTTTGACATCTCAAAAACATATTTCGAGAGCTGTGAAGGCGGCGGTAAGTGGATGCGCGTTGTATTGCAACAAAAGAATGTCTTTCTACAATTAATCTTATTTCTCATTTCATATTCTCATATGCAGAACCTGACTAGCGTCCATGTACTTTGCCAATTGATCAATAGTCTCTCATCGGTTATTCAGAATGAGAACACGGACGTGCCTACCTTGGGTTAAGTTTCTCTCTTCTCATCCTGCACGCTTTATTGACTGCTTTTAAAATGTACAACACACTGGTAAACTCTTCCCCGTGGAAAAACGTTGCTCCCACATCCTGCTGAAAATATCCTAAGGATTTCAGCTTTTGGTACACATTTATATTACAAAAAGGATGACAAAACCTCTTCTTTTTTGGTGCAAACTTACAGTGGTGCAGCCATGTTTACGTCGTAACATATCATGCGAACAGTAGGTGAACTTACCGTAAGCAAAATGAACGTTATCATCTTAAGGCTTGTAAGTGCACAAAACTACAGTCAACGTACAGACGATTGTAACAAGAGTGCAGACGCCCCTCGTCGCCTTCTCGTGGCGCGCCGGCGGGCGCTGGCCAGACTCACCCCATGCGCGGGCCGCCCTGCGTCAGGTCGAACACCTGGCGCGGGTTGAGCAGCCACTGGAACTTCTGCAGCAGCTTGGCGCCCTGGTTGCCGCCGGAGCGCGGGTTGATGAACACCACCACTGGCCGCGTCTCCGCGTTGGGGATGGGCTTCAGCACGAAGCTGCGCTGCTCGCGCTGCTCCTGGGCAACAGGCAAGGGGCAAATCAAACGTAGGAACGAGAAGTTTTAGCCCCAGCGATGTACGAAATAATGAGTTTATGGGGATGCGAAATCCCAAGATGGTGGATAAAATTTAGTGTATTTTTTAAAAAAAGTGTTTCGGAATGTTGTCCTTAAAAAGAGCAAAACCCTGCGTTTTCGTACGTTGATGGCAGCTGATGACCCTATCTACGATATACTGGTTAGACAAAACCATTAAAACTGTTGTTTAGTTAACCATTTATGTGCACTTGTTTGATCAGGTTACCAGTCTAATGACATATGTTGTTTAACTACGCTAGTCACGGTGCCAGTGTGATATACTCGACAATAAATTAACAGCTGAAGACTTTTTTACTTATTAGTTTCCTACTTAGTTACTAGTTAAAGTCGGGACTACTTTTTCCGTTTTACCTCCTCCCCTCCATCCAAGCTGCCGTCTGTCGGCGTGTTAAAGGCTTAATTGCGGCGTGGCTTAATCACAATTTCTACAATTCCTACCGCTCTCCTTTTCCGTGAAAATATTCCTAGCTTTTCTCAAACATCATGCCGCAAATGCCTTTTGGTCTACTCGGATCTGTACCATTACATGTATACCTATGGTAGATCGAGGCCCCATTGCTGTTTGTAACATTATTCTGCCTGAAGGAAGCCAGTTCCTCTAATACACAGTAAATTTAAAAGATCGACCAATATTCACAGAGAGAAGACATTTTCCTCTAAATATCGGTCGGTTCTTTGTATTTGTTAATTATGTATACATACGTTAATTATGTATTTACACACAGATTAAAACTTCGATATGGATTTTTCACACGTAATTTTCCCTGTCCCGCCTATATTATACTACATAAGCACATATCCGCCGGCCTGGCTAGTCGGTGCTCATAAGGCTGAAGAGCAGTAGCTGCCTTGTGCCTGAAGAGTTGCGGGTTCGCATGCCGCCCGGGGCATGGATGTTTGTATGCGTCCGTATACGAGTATGCGAGTTTCTCAACCGTTACCGTTAACCCCAAAGTTGTAAAACCAAAGTTACTGGCAGTTATTTCTGTATGACTTTAGTAATTGAAATGCGACCTTAAATAAGTAAAACAAAGTACAAATCCACGATTTGTTCGTAAACCGCTCCAAAGTTTTGTTTATCTTTTGGTACTAGAGAGTACAATACTCGTAATCACATGACGCACAACTTCGGAATTATTTTTAAATATCCCAGGTCAGGTTTGAGTCTAACCCCCTTGACAACAGAGAGAGTGGCTTCCGTGAACACCACGGTGTCCAATCTCCGGAGCATCTTCCATTCTATGAAGTTTTTGATCTCGTCAGGACGCTTCATTATTGCTGGCTTCGTAAAAATGCACTGACGAGGGATGTGATTCATAGCTTCTACCGCTGTATTGCACTCCCTGTACTTTACACCCTCTCTGGACCTTCCTCTATCAAAAGTAGTTTTATTGGCAGCGGTATTTGATCTCAATTGGAGTGCAGTGATAAAAAGATCAGGTTTTAGAAGATGATAATCTTTCAAAAAGGCATTTCCAATCGGATCGTTTATATGCTCCCTCTCCCTAGCCGTTCTCCCTTGGGATCTCACCTTCTCCCAGGCGGCTACCTCGTCATCGGCGCATTTCTTCTTACAAGCCCTTAAATCTTGTTCATAATAGAGCCAGTTGAGTCTCAGTGATTTTGCTGTCTTTAGTGTCCGTTGGTAAAAACTCGGACAGGAGCTCAATCATCTGCAAATAGGATCTGCAGATTTTTTCTAATCGTAATCCTAAGGTTCAGCGCAACTCTAGAAACATGTTGGGCGAGCCGCAGAAATCCTAGTTCTTCATTTTTTCTCTTGGGCAGCATAGACATAAGCATTGCGTACTCATATGGTAGATGTAGGAACTGTTTGAATGTCACTCTGATTTGACCGTCCACTTCCCTTAGCCATCGACATTGATAGCATGGATAGAACCAATTTGATAAAGGTAATGTGGCATTATGTTGGTAAGAAGATGCCAACTTCTTGGGCTTAAAAGCTCCTTTTGAAGCCTCGAAGGTGCCATACAAAATTCCTATAGCGGATCCTTCATATGGGAAGCCGTTCCAGATAAAGTAGTTCAGCACACACCAGGTATGTCAGAGTATCATCATTGCTGACAAGAATTCTCTCCCCCAACCTTTCCAGACAGGGGCCTCAATGAACCAGGATTGTTCAAAAGTTGTAATTTGAAATAATGAACATTTCGTGACGGCTCCAAGATATTCCACCACAATATCAACCAATTCTTGAGCTCCCGGGGCAACAGCACTAGATCGTCAGCAAATGCTAACACGGACACACTCCTTCCCAAAAGCGTGTATCCTGATATATTTTCCAACTGTTAGAGGAAGTAATTTTCTATATACGAACACGATTTAATTACAGAATGTTTTTTAAAACGGTAAAACGTTCAGTCGAGATTAACAGACAAGGGAATATTCATTTTGAAAAATAATATGAAAAATGTTGGCGCTGGTGTTGTCCACAGACGAGCGGAGATTCGGAGAGACTGGCGGACGGACTTTTCGAAAAGAAACACTTTTTCCGGTAACTGGTACTTTCGTGTACGGTATTCCCAAAACGTGTATTTACGTTGAAATACAGAAATCGATTTTCCGCGGCATTTTATATCTCACTGTACTACGTTTATTACTCATATACGTACGTACATGGGAAATAAATTAACGGTGTTACAGAATGGCATAGACTTTCTCGCACTAATTATAGGAATAAGATGGCTTTTTGTTTTGCATCACTGATGCTCGATTTGACACACAACTTTAAGAATATTATATAAGAGTAAAGTGTCGTCCTATATTGCATGTTCTTTGAAACATTTAAAGCCGTTATTGAAAAAATGTCGTTTAAACCTTTCTATAAATTCAAAATTTGGAGTTCTCTTTCACAGAAAACTTTTGTGTTTTGTATAAACTTAATTGGAAATCATTTGAAGCCATTTCACTTCAAGTGAATTAATCCATTTTAATCCACTGGTAATATAAACGCTGGGAGAACAATTTTAAAGATATTATATTTGTTGTGAGCGATTCTGAAAATGCAGTATTTGAGCAATATTTGATTTGTGCAATTAAAAAAAAGAATAGTGAAAAATGGCGTTAATGTTATCTGTTACAGTACATTTAGTGCTATCCTTACGAAATGTGTAAAGGAAAAATTAGGGACGGTTGTTGAAAAATTCCTGTTTTATATTATTTAATATTGCACATATTTCAAGCAATATTGGTCGAAAACTACTAAACTTTTCAACAATAAAAAGTACATGACAGTAATGAAACGTCTAATTATTTCAATTACATATTCAGTTTTGTAGTTGTAGAAAAACACGACAAAGTTTTCAAACTTTTACAATTTTCGAAAATTAAGAGTTAGCAGCAAATATCGGAGCTTTGCCATCATTATAAGTGTTTTCAACTCTATTTTGACAAGAAATTTAACTAAACAATTTGGTGCCATTTTCTAGACAATTTTAAATGTCCCTGGGGGTTCATGTAAAGTATCCTCAAAAATTAAAGAATGTTATTCAAAATCGCAGAGCTTCGAGTGAGGCCAGATTGACCGGACGGATTGAAGAAAAAACTACAAATTGTTTAAGCACTAGCGTTACTCACAGACGACAGACAGACGAACAGAGAGACGAAAGAACTGACGTTTTGAAAACAAAACATGGTATCATGGACTCACTATTCGTTCGAACGACAACAATCAAGATAATGACTTTTAAAATAGTTTATTGGAACTTCCAAAACATTGTTTAATGTGGTTTAATTCTCAAAGACTATTATAATGAAGAAAGTTTACAAATTCTGAACATTCTGATTTTCTACTTACTGCATCAGTACCAATAATGATGTAGTAAATATCGAAACCTGACTACTCCGCCTCTATGCATTACGCCGCCCTATTCGTTATACCGGCATCTAATCCGGTATGCACATAGGCATCGACGCACTCGCCTCGTGACCTTTACGCAGGGCTCTTACGTCACGTGACGCGCTGCGCAGCGCCGCGAATCGAGGCCATCGCCTGCGAGCGACTCCCCTCAAGTGCGCCGGGCAATGGGCGCAGGGCCCCGCGCGCGACGGCTTCGCAGGCGCCGCCCGGTCGGACGGCATGGGCCACGCTGGCCACAGGGCTCTGTCAAGGGATTCCAAGTCTACAACTGTCTATTAAGCTACGTACATTTTGCTTAACTACACTTTTGTTGTTGTATTTTTCTTTTTTGGGAATTTCACATATTTTATAAAACGACAAAGATATTTAAAGTTTGGAGAAGTTTTCAAATATAATAAAAGCTTTCGAAAATATAAAACTTTGGAAGAACTACTAAGTTTTTCAAATATTCTAACGGGGTGCTTGCAGTAATTTTATGAAGGAAACTTCCTACGATCAAACTGATTCTGCTTAATCTTTTAAACAATTCGCTTCATCATCTGGTTCATGTAAAACCTTTCACTGATTACACGAGATAACGTTCTCTCAGAATAGTATTCGACCTATTGTGTCTCTTTCATTATTCTTAAAATTCACATTTGCCTCTTTCATTGGCATAGTATTTTGACGTCACTACTTCAATTCGAATTAATATCTTTAGAGTAAAATACGAGCACATGAGAAACTCGTCCGTGTATGCTTACTAAGAGATTTTTTACTTTCTCTTTTTCACGTACTTATAAAGTAAAGGAAAAATCATTGTATTGATGCAGCAGGATGTGACAATTGTTCGACAGAAAAACTCGTATCTGGGGAGCCATACCCAAACAGTGGATAAATCATATAGATACTAAATTACATTCTCTAATACGTTGTCGCCGCTATCCCAGCAGCGACCCTGACCGGGACGTCCCAGTGTTCGGGGCCCAAATGTCTGATTTTCGATGCTAGCTAAATAGCTACGTTGATTTCAGCACCTGTCCGGATGAGAATTGTAGCGTTCAGCTGCACTGTTTGGTATATTACGTGGTTCCTCCGATGAATAGCAGGCAAATGCCGGAGAAGTATACTAACAAACGGTCCATCGCCAGCACGCGGTCTTTCCTTCCTCTTCCTTTTCATATTATCTTCCTTCAAACAAGTTCACATACATATTCTTACACTCTCTACACTACCACGCATGTCGGGAGATTCGAGCTTCTGCGGGCTGGAACGGCGTCTTTCGGAGAGGGGGTTACCTGAAGAGGAAAATCTCTCACCAGCCGGATTGGAGGCCGGCACTGTCTCTCACTATTCAACGGAGAAGAAATCACCGCCACCTTTCGGGATAAAATGTTCACTTCTCTAACAGGACTAATGGTCGTAAAAATTGACGTACCCAGAAACTCCAATCAAATAATGACTTGTATAAACAGAATACAGTTACACGTACATGCCACGCATGTCGGGAGACCTGTAGTGAGCTTACTACTTGGGCCGGTGCCCCACTGGTAGGGGTCACCTGTATGGGGAAAATGTCCGCAAGCCGACCTATAGGTCGGCGCAGGATCTCCACTTCCAGCGGGGAAGGAGCACCGCCACAACCCATGATAAAACATGCAACATACTTATGAGACGCAGCACGAAATAATCAATCAATGAAAATACAAGATTCGTGAATTTTTGATTCCGAAAAATAGTTTAAATTGATGACATGAATCAATCAATCAATCAAAAGCAATGTTCTCTTTCCGTTCCATTCTCGCTCACTTCCTTCAAATCAGTCTGGAACCCTGTAATTGATTATGTTGCGTACATAATCGGAATACCATGATAGGAAAGAGATCTACTTTACAAAAGAATTGAAAGTGCAATAATAATAATAATAATAATAATAATAATAATAATAACAATAATAATAATGTTAAATAATTCATAATTTTCTATAAAGTTGAAATCTAAGGTCGAAAATAGATCTTTTAACAATTACTTTTTCTTAATTTCGGTATAATACGTCCTTGTTATATATTTCCAAAGTCTATATTTTTAGGGCGTAATATGTTATACAGACCGGTGTTATTTTTAAAAATTGATGTGGCGTGTATTATATATCTTAGCATATCAATAAATGGATTACAAGTGTGAATTCCGTAAACTGAAGCTAAAAGCTTTATCGGCCGACCTGGTTGTTCCAGGTGACTAAGAGGGGGTGCTGACCTAGCGCTTCAGTCCGGGTTCGAGTTCCGTACTTGGCATGTTTGTTTGTGCCTTGTTTCTCATGTACATGTTGTTGCGAAGGGCCTCGCGTTCTGCTGACCCCATATTTAAGAAGCCCGCAAGTGTGTTGGTGTTTGGTGTATAGTGGAATGTGCATCCCATCGGAACATAAGAGAAACTCGCTGTTGACTGGATAAAAGCTCTAGGAAAAAAGGAGAAAGAAAAAAGGTTTATCGACTGTGTTGCTTCTACCATTGCTAAGTTTGTGATAGCTGAGATAAGTTGGGCGAAATATTATGTACATTTTTAGATGTCAGTGTGTAATTCATTTTCTGTCGAATTTTAACTCCCATCCTGATGTATGCGTAATAAGACCATCCGCATGTGTTCAACGCCGTCCACTATATTTTTCGTAATATTTATCTCAAAATTCAATATAATCATCGTGGGCGAGAGTGCAGACGTACCTTCTCCTTGGTCCTCTTCTTGGAGCCCGTCTTCTTCTTAGGGGAGCGGCGCAGGCTGGATTTGAAGGAGCCGCGCCGCGGAAGCTTCACGATCCACGACGGAGGGACGATGATGCCTCGATGCGGCCCTGCGGGCACACAGCGCCCACGGGCGCGTTCAGCAACAGGCGCCTCCGCCCTCTGCGACGAGCTCTGCACTTGGTTAACACATACTTAACTGGTAGTACCTGTCCCTTAACGGAAGAGGAGAAGCTCACGAACCTTGATGCAACTCGTGGATAGTGAAAATAAGATTGACTGATATTGTAATAATTTGGGTAATCATCCCAAGTTATTACTACATCGTGGTTGAAAACAATAATTCATAGACGATAGTGGATTGCATAGTTTGAGGTCTAAAGTGAGCATAAGAAATGAAACAATTTGTTAATCTGTTTGGCCGCAAATTACGTTCATGTTGAAAGGAAGAGGGAAGGTCCAGGGAACGGTCTATCTCGCTTTCAATAAATTCTGATTTGAAAATAATGGTATTTTAATGAATGATGCGGGATTTTTCACTGAAGCCTAGTCATTGACCTAACAATTGCAGCACGGGTTTAAAGTGTAAATATATTTCCTTTTTATAATAAATGAAACAGAACTTCGAATATACAAATAATTTTGAAGATTAAAAACAGTGCATGTATTTAGATGAAAATGATTGAATTAATAATTGCATGGCAATGATGTTTCCCTTTAAAGAATTCCCAGAAAAAACACGCATTAAAGAATTCTAATCTTAAAAAAATACTTCAAAATTGTTTTTCAGAATAAGTGACGATTATTAAACGATCTTCATAACTATCTGATGGACGTCAAAGTTTCTTCCTCCTAATGAACATTTTCCATCTAACAAATTATATAGCCCCAATCGACCACGATGTGTTCACATATTTATAATGTATAATAGAATTACTGATTTTAATATTAATGTAATAGCTGGGTATCATAATACTTTATCTGATATGTGAAGAGATCTGAGAATATATTTCAAATTAAATATTTATCATATGTATAAGTACATTTTACTCTAAAATTCCTCTTAGAAATCAAGGCTAGTATTGTAAACAATTTTTAGAGAATGTGAAAATATTACTTTTTTGTAGCGGTAAGTTCTACCACGCTAGCGAGAAGAAAATGTGGATTGTAATTCGAAACATGAAGTATTAGGCCATTTTCGGTACCACACATTTCATGTTTTTCTCTCTTTAATTACATGACCGAATTACCTGTGTATTTTCAAAATAATATTTAATTCGGTTTCGAAAAATGTATTCTGTTACAAGTTATGTATATGTGACATACTGCACATAATTATGCCCCTTGAGACTAATTTTTAGATGATTATCGTGTCATTCCCCCTCTATGTGGAACATTCATATCCGTCCCTTGTAACGACTGAAGTGAAGGGAACTGAATTTTTAAAGACCTTTGAACGCAGACAGTCCGCGAAAACATGTCCACACCTGAGGGAACAATAGTGTTTGTGGCGAAGGCGACATGCGTTGACATGCTGTCGTTCTTGATTGTGGTAATGAATCATAATGACTCAAAGACATTCAACGGTTGACTGATCTGTCCTCGTATGTCTAGCTTGAAAACCATTTACATATTAATAATCTTGCAATGGATTGACCTATCGTTTTCTGCCCTGAAAAATATCCTTTCATCGTGAGCCGAACATTAGGGAAATGACTTTATTTTTTAACAACTTTAAATAGGATATTTTATCTTGGTGGTTTTCAAAGAAATTATAAATTTTGTCACAATTTAAAATATGTTTTGGAAAGGCATAAAAATCACATTTTGCATTATTAAGTTAAATAATATTAACGTAATATCTAAAACACATGGTCTATTTAAAGTTGTTCATTAGTTAACACGTTGCTTAACATTTTTTTTTATAAATGTTATATCTATTTTGTAATTAATTAATACCACACACTACACTTAACAATTTACTTGTATAAATATCATTAACGATATTTCTTAGCAATATAGTAGGTCGGTTCAAAAACAACAGCATAAAACTGCACAAAAACATGCTTGAAATGTTCGTATGAGGTCGTTTGTCACAACATTAGCCATCTGTACGAAATGTAACTGCTGTCAACTGGCGGCTTTTAGCAATGTCATCCACGAATCTTTATTTGTTTAACAGTTCTAGTCACTTCTAGTTACATGAACCAAGGTTTGAACCAACCTAGTTGCATGAAAAAAGTTTAGGAAAAAATTGGGGGCAGTTTTGAGAAAAAATATTTTTGTTTATATTTAGAAGCCCCAAAAACTTCAGTTTTGCAATGTTCGGAAAATCATAGATTTCATGATAAATATATAGATCATGATAGATAGAATCATAGATAGTATGTGTGTTCCGTGTATACAGCATTTGTAAAACATTTCTGATTTGAACAACAGATACTGGATATTTTAATATTTTAAATAGAGAAGGTTTGGAAGTGCCCACAAACAAGGATTTAAGAATAGGATAATCATGTCTTGGACATTGATGTCGACCCTTATATCGGATAAGTAGGAGCAATTTTTCCGGCGGTTGAATATGGGCAACTCTCAGTGCTTAGTATATTTGTTAATAAAAATGTTGTCGAAAAGGATGAACCATTAACATATTTTGATTTGATGGGAAAAATCACTTACTGGCTTCTGCGAAAAGGGCAATAAAGAAACGCATGAATACTATTTTGCCAACAGTAATGATTTGTCTTGAGAAATAATGCTTTTTCTTTGTCATAAACTGATTTTTATTTTTTAATAATTTTTTTAACATTTTTATTAAATGATATAAATTTATTAATTTGGGATGTCATATTTCTTGTAATAGATCAGTAAATAACAAAATGAGATATACTTTGTGAAATCATATTTCACTGTGAGTAGAACATTTATTATGTTTACTGAGATGACAAAAGTCATAGGATAGCATCATGCAAATATTCAGATGGCAGTAGTATCACGTACAAAAGGTATAAAAAGCAGTGCATTGACAGAGCTTTCATTTGGACTCAGGTGATTCAAGCGAAAAAGTATCTGAAGTGATTATGGTCGCACACAGGAAATTAACAGACTTTGAATGTGGAGTTGGAGTTAGACATACTATTTTGGAAATCGTTAGTGAATTCAATATTCCGAGATACACAGTGTCAAAAGGGTGTATCGAGAATACCTAACCTCTCATTACGCGAAAAACGCAGTGGCCATCGGCCTTCCCTTAATGACCGAGTGCAGCGGCGTTTGCATAGTTGTCAGCGCTAACAGACAAACAACTCTGCGAGAAATAACTGTAGAAATCAATGTGGGACGTACGACGAACGTATCTATTAGGGTTAATGGTAGCAAAATTTGGCTTTAAGAGCTATGGCAGATGATGACCGACTCCAGAGCTTCCGCTAACAGCACGACATCGCCTGCAGATCTAGTGACCATATCGATTGGACCCTAGACGACTAGAAAACCGAGGCTTGGTCAGATGAGTCCCGATTTCATTTCGAAAGAGCTGATCGTAGCCGATTCTCAGTTTTGTGACTAAAGGAAAGCTCAGACAAGTCAAGTGTGCTAGATACGGCGATGGGAGTACGTCATACACGTCGCATGTATCCCTTAATTCCAAGCGTGGACAATAAATAAATACAGGATCCAGGCCTGGGAACACCACTAGGTAGCAAAGTCGGATTGAGCCGCCAAACACGTGCGTCCGTACCTAAACTGCACTCTTCTCCGACGCGCGCCAGCGGGAAGCACGCCTCCTTGTTGTGCAGCGCGCTCTTGCACCACGAGCAGCTCAGCGCCACGATCTCCTTGCTGCTGAACGAGAGCTTGGACTGGAACGACTGCAAGCACAAACAACACGTCGGGCCGTCAACAGGAGATGAGGCACCCGTCGCTTAAATGGCCGCGCTACTACAAACTAGCTGGTCAATGAGAACTATAATCCTATGAGTGTTAAATAGTTCTTTTTATAAAAAATGTTTGCAGCTTAAAAACATGAATTTTGGGTATGCATTCTGTAATAATTACCAGTATTAATGAAAAACGGATGAAACTTATTTCAACAAAATAATAAATAAGGAGCAAAATTTCAGATCAGGCCAGTTAAGAGCTATTCCTATAGGAAACATGAAACTCAAATACTGATATAAATCCTTAGGCACTTCTGACTCGCGCGTGCAAACTCTTTTGGGGAACATTTTGTTTATTTCCATGCAATACGATGAATTTACAGAAGAAATTTTCTAATAAACCATACACGTATTGTGGAATCTAATAGTTTTTGGGTTGCTAGTAAAGGACAGAGAACTCTCTTTATAAGCTTCCTAATACGTTGTGTATAGGATTCAGACAAATATTCTAATAAATATAGAAAAAATTTAACATATATTCTAGGGTCTCATAGAGAATTTTGTCCAAAATATTTTAAAATATAAGTGTAAAAAAACACATTTACGAGAGCCCAGCTAGTTAACGTAAAAATATTAGATCTATGCCATTCACGATGGTTTAGCAAATAGCATACTGACTTGAAAAACAGAAGTGTGCAGGTTCAAATTCGTCTCAGTGGTATGGATTTTTCGAAGGGCATAATTTCTATGGAATGCAATGTTTGCGGCATTGTGCCTCTATTCAAGTATTTCTCCACCCAAACACTGAATGTGTTCAGCAAGTAACAGAAAATATGATAGAGACCATTGTTATGCCGGATAATGGAGACAAATTGGGGAGTAAAAATCGGTTAGTAATGATGGCAACTGCTATTGTGCCACAACAGAAAAATGTCTAAAATTTCTAAAAGCTCAGCCGTGTCAGGGATGGGCAAGCCAATTGAAACATCTCCAGAGCTCGATCGTCAGATAACGACAATATCTACATTTTAGTTGTACATGGTTGTAGGCTAAAATGGCCCAACCATTCCCTTACACTTTATTTTCCACTCATTACACTCCGGTTTCTCCGCTTTTCCCGGTAAGCCCACGGCTTCCTCTTACCCGCGTTTTCGCTCCGCCTCCTCCTTTCGTTCCTTCCTAGGTTCG